CCTCTAGGAGGCCCCTGGGACTGTAATAGGTGCTCCCAAACTGCAATTGCATCAGAAAGTTTTGTGAAGCTATAAGGATGTCTTTTGTGTGCTGTTTATGTGTGTTTGCATTTATGTTGCAGTGCGTGCGTGTGCGTCGCGTGCAGGAGCTGTGTACGTACATGTGTGTGTGTATGTGGTGTGGTGAGTAAATATCAGCACTGGGGAGACAAAGGCGGCCGATGTGTGATGCTGGCCACCCACTCCCTCGTGTGCCGTTCCGGCCTTCATAGGTGCGACTCGCTCACAGCACTTGCCCCAACAGTCTGCTGCAGGTTATACGGGGGATCTTTGTCTTTGGCCTATGTACGTGCGGTGTCGTGGCGGTGAGCGCGCTGTGCTCTGAGCCCGGCGACCCGAGTCCGATGCCCGTCCACGGCCAACATCGTGGGCCTTTTGATTTAAAGCTTTCGTGACTGCAGTAATTCATATTCTTAGTTCTTTCGGTAAAGTCACGTTGAAAGAAAGAACTAAGACTATCGTGGGCCTTCCCTAGGGCGACTCTGCCTCAAATGAGTACCCCGCTGCCATGTGGCCCCCCAAAGCCCCTCGTGTGCCGTCCCGGCCTTCACGGGCGCTACTCGCGTAACGGCACTTTTCCCAAAAGTCTGTTCAGCCTATACGGGAGATCTTTGTCTTTGTGGGGGGGGGGGGGGGTACGTGCGTGCTCACGGCACGGCAACGGAGCGTGACGGCGGCGGGACGGAGGCAGTCGAACCTCGCGTAAATAATTTACGCAATTAGCGACGCGCCCTTCGCAACCCCGAGTAATTGGCAAGCTGCGCGGATCGCGTGCGAGAAAGACTAGAGGGCGGTGGGGGGAGCGTGGGGGTGGAAGGATGGAGGGGGGTGGAAGGGTGGAGGGGTGGAGGAGGGGGCGTGGAGGGGGGGGTGGAGGAGGGGGGGGGGGGGCTGGGAAGAAGGTGAGGGCTGAAGGCGAGTACCGTAAACAACAGCACGCATTGAAGAGCCGCGGCGAGGAAGCGCGGGGGTGCGAGGCAGGCGAGGGTGGCGTGGGAGGGGGCGAGCGGAGAGGGACGAGTGGGGGGAGCGGAGCGGACGTGGGGGTGCTTGGGGAGGAGGAGGAGGAGGAGGAGAGGGGGGGAGTCTCTGTCGGCCTCGCGTCACCTTCGCGTGCCGCCGCCACCGCGGCCGCGATCCAAGATGGGCAGGGAAATGAACCCAATTATCCCGCACTGCCATCCCGGAGCCACACGCGAAAGGGGATGAAGGGGGTGGAGCGGGGGGGTGGGGCGATTTATAAGCTCGTAACGAACAACAGCAGCAGCAGCAACAGCGGCATTAATCGGTGATGCTCGATGTGGATGATTGTATCCGTGATGATAATCATTGCTAACGGCATCGTGAATGCTGATGTCGTCATGAGCATCATCCGTAGGCCTGTCGTCAGCATCGCTGTAACGGTAACTTTACACTCACCATCGTTCGAATATACAAAAATAACTCGACTTCTCTGGCCTCGCTTTCGAATATGCTGTGAAGAAGGGCCATTGCCAGAAACGTCGCTCATTACATACTTTTTCCACGCTCGGTCTACACGCACGGCGGTGTTGTTATTGACACTGAGCGTGTTGTTGTTGTTGTCTGTGCACCACTGCCAACGAAGGAGCAGCAACACTTAAACAATTAGTTTGGAATACAACATATCATCGCTACAATTGATCATCATCGCTGTAACAATGATTAAAGCATCGTAGTTGTGATAGCTATCGCGGTTGCTATCAACAAAATGCGATCAGCGCCATCATTATTATCACGACTACAATTATCGAGTGACCTTTCCATAACCGTGGGCCGGTGTGTGTTCACTGGGGGGTTAGGAGCGGTGGCGCAGCGGTTAGCGCACCTGAACTCGTCAATCATCCATACCGCGCGGGATCGATTCACGGTGACGCGAGTTGATATCTGCACCGGTCCCACCCCCACCGCAAACCACGCACCGCCCTTCACCAATTCGCACTGACCAGCGTGGGGAAGTATGGTCAAACAAAATCCCCAAATGAACGACAAGGCGTGGTGAGAGGCCATCACACGGACTGTGTGTGAAACCAGAGTTGACATCGCCGTGGTGTCGCCGTTTGAACACTGCAACTCGCAATCCAGAGGTCACCAGTGCGTTCTTCTGCCGCGGTAGTTTAAAGTACGGGGAACTTTTCTAAACCCCCCCACCACCACTCACCACCACACCCCGGTTCTGTCCACATGGGAGTATAAGTGCTATAAATGTCCAAATGGTGGGCCACTTTGTTCAACTATCCTTTGTGGCCAGGTGGCTTTTTTAACAAAAATAAGTTAATACCGCAGTGGGCTTTGTCTGGCAGGATGGGTGATGGTTTAGTTGTATTTTTTGTTGTGCGTTTGGGTGATTTGGTAACCTTTCTTGTACTCTGCTCTCGGATCGTGTTTTTGTACAGGTTGTTAGTTCTTACCCCGCGCCCAACTGGACATCTGTGGAATAAAAACGCTTCATAGCTCATCGGATTCCTCCAGTCTGAATACAAATTCTGATTCTGAAGTATGGATGCTCCCAAACGTGGACGGGTTGGCCAAAATCCACTCTAGAAGCTTTCGATCTCAAAGCTCACTCTCGTGTCGCGTTAGGAGGCAATTGCAGGGCTGCACTTTTGCCTTGACACGGCGTGAACGAAGCTGCGACAACGGCTGCCAACTGGCGCAGGCAATTTACACTCACACAGCACTGTGTAGTGTGTGTGGTGTGTGTGTGGGGTGTGTGTTTGTAGTGTAGTATGTGTGTGGTGATGGTGTGGTGTGTGTGTGTGTGTATGTAGTGTAGTATATGTGTGTGGTGTGTGTGGTGTGTGTAGGTGTGTGTGTGGTGTGTATGGTGTGTGTGTGTAGTGTAGTATGCGTGTGTGGTGTGTGGTGTGTGTAGGTGTGTGTGTGGTGTGTATGGTGTGTGTATGGTGTGTGTGTGGTGTGTGTGTGTATGGTGTGTGTATGGTGTGTGTGTATGGTGTGTATGGTGTGTGTATGGTGTGTGTATGGTGTGTGTATGGTGTGTGTGTAGGTGTGTGTATGGTGTGTGTATGGTGTGTATGGTGTGTGTGTATGGTGTGTGTGTGTATGGTGTGTGTGTATGGTGTGTGTATGGTGTGTGTGTTTATGGTGTGTGTAAGTATGGTGTGTGTGTATGGTGTGTGTGTGTGGTGTGTGTGCAGGACCGAGTTGGTTCTCATAGTGAAGCTGAGCCCTCTGTAAAAATGCGTCCCCCATCTCAATTGGAGGCGTCGGGAGCCCGCGGGGCTTTGTGCACAGATGACCCTTAACCTCCCATCAAATGCACACGCGCGCACGGCGGCAACGATCCTATTAAGGCGCCTTCGAGGGAGGATGGTCAGGGAACCAGCCTCGCCGCTGATTTTGGCTGTGCCCGGAACGTCGAACTCAGCACGCGGTGCAGTGCGCTAACCACTACGTCACAACCCCCCCTCCCCCTCCATTAAAAATATAAATAAAGCTTATAACAGATTGTTGGGGCAAGTGCTGTTAGCGAGTTCCTATTAAGGCCGGAACGGTGTACAAAGGGAATGGTGAAACTAACACACCCGGCCGCCTTTGTCTCTCCCCAGTACTGATATTTTATTGTTGTTTACGCACACTGCTAAGTCGACGTAAATGAAGCCAATTCCCGATGTGTCATTATTAATCAGATTATCCCCTGGGCCTGGAATCGAACTCGCAACGCCTGAATGTCCCGCGAGCAGGGCACACGAACCACGCTCGCGCGCGCGCGCGCGCGCACAATCACCAAGCGCGTGGCCGTGCCAGGACCAGAGCGAGATTACAGAGCCAGATAGCAACGAGACGACGGCGTGGTGGGAGGGTGGTGGGAGGGTGGGAGGGTGGGTGGGTGGGAGGGTCACAGCCCTGAACTAACGCGAACTATTTACCTACCTCGCACGCACAGCCGCACGCACACACACACACAAAACATCCGTCGCCATCCTAGCGCACAATCGCACGCAAACACGGACACACACACACACACTCACTTCTGAACACGACAAAGATACCCTGTATGGCCTTCACAGACTGTTGGGGCAAGTGCTGTTAGCAAGCACCTATGAACACACACACACACACTCACTTCTGAACACGACAAAGATACCCTGTATGGCCTTCACAGACTGTTGGGGCAAGTGCTGTTAGCAAGCACCTATGAACACACACACACACACACTCACTTCTGAACACGACAAAGACAAAGATACCCTGTATGGCTTTCACAGACTGTTGGGGCAAGTGCTGTTAGCAAGCACCTATGAAGACACACACACACTCACTTCTGAACACGACAAAGTCAAAGCTCCCTCGTATAGCCTTCACAGACTGTTGGAACAAGTGCTGTCAGCGAGCACCTATGAAGGCCGGCACGGCACACGAGGTGGGTGGCCAGCACCACGCCCCGGCCGCCTTTGTCTCCCCAGTGGCGATGTTTACACACCGCACCAGGTACTCATTTGAGGCTGAGTCGACCTAGGGGAGGCCCAGGACCGGTTCAGATAATCGTCACTGCTATTGACCGTGAGCGGGAATCGAACCCGGGTCGCCAGGTTCGTAGTGCAGCGCGCTAACCGCTACACTTCACACATCTCCCCTGTCTTAGATTCTGCACGTAGCCCCATGCCCCCAGCCCTGGAACGCGGAGGGGATGGTAATGGGGTTGGGGGTGGGGGCTGGCGGGGCTGGGGGCTGAAGGAGGTGTGGAGGATGGGGAGAGAACACGGGGGGAGGGGGGCGGGGTCGTCCTCGCAAAATTGAGAGGCAGCAGTCGCCCCCCGCCCCGCGCTCTCGTCCTTCCGAGTGGCGGTCACAATTGTGGCGAGGGGAGGGAGAGGAGGGAGGGGATGAGTGGATGGGTGGTGGTGGTGGGGGGGGGCAGTCGATGCAAGGGGGGGGGGGGTCCTGCTGATAAATACACGTGGGTTTCTGCGGCACCCGCAGATCAACGCCACTAGCGATTTAAAAGTGGCAGCGGCAGAGGCAACAACTTCAGCAGTTGCAGCAGCATAAGTACCATCAGCGAACCATCATCGCCAGCATCATCGTAATCATCGCCAGCAGCAGAGCGGACTTGTGCCAGCGATCAGGTCGCAGAGACGGCGCCTCCCCTTGGCGCGCGTTGAATAAACGAGCCCACGACGTTTTTTTTTGGTACGTCGCCGATCGGACAACAAGACGCGAGTCAGAGAATCTCCGATCCCTTTTCTCTCTCCCTTTCTCTCTCTCTCTCTCTGCCTTGCCATGACCGCCGCCGAGAGCATGGAGGCGCTGCCCGTGGTAGCGGCGGGCGGCGGGGCCCAGCTGTGGGACATCTCGCACCCGCCCGTGCTCTTCTTCCTGCTCTCCGCTCTGCTCATCCTCCTCGTCACCCTGGAAGCTCGCAAGCACGGCCGCTCTCATCAGCAGCAGCAAAAGCACAGCGCTCCCGACCCTCCGGGTCCCCTCGGATTCCCCATCGTCGGAAACTCCCTCCAGCTGGGACCGATGCCTCACCTGACCCTCAATGCCATGGCGCAGCGCTACGGGGCCGTGTTCCGCATCCACCTGGGCCACGAGCCCGTGGTGGTGCTCACGGGGGAGGAGATCATCCACGAGGCGCTGGTCAAGCGCGGCGCGGAGTTCGCGGGCCGGCCCGACTTCCCCTCCTTCGCCCTCGTGTCGGGCGGCAACAGCATGTCGTTCAATACCTACAGCGAGCTGTGGCGCGTGCACCGGCGGCTGGCGCACTCCACGTTGCGCGCCTTCTTCACGGGCACGGCGGCGACCCGCCGCGTCTTCGAGGGCCACGTGCGCCTCGAGGCGGCCGAGCTGTGTGCGATGCTCGCGGAGGCGACGAGCCGAGCGGGAGGCTGCGGCGTCGACCCCAGCGAGCCGACGGTGGTGGCCGTGGCCAACGTCATCTCGGCGGTGTGCTTCGGCAAGCGCTACGAGCACGACGACGCCGAGTTCCGCGGCCTGTTGCGCAACAACGAGCGCTTCAGCAAGACCGTGGGCGCCGGCAGCGTGGTGGACGTCATGCCATGGCTCATGCGCTTCCCCAACCCCGTGCGCTCCATCTTCCGCGACTTCGAGCAGATGAACAACGAGTTCTTCGCCTTCGTGCAGCGCAAGGTGCGAGAGCACCGCGACTCGTACGACCCCGCGGCGACCCCGCGCGACATGATCGACGCGCTCATCGGGCACATCGATGGCGGAGGCGGCGACAGCGACGACGAGGGAGACGCGGCAGACGGGGCCAAAGCTGGCGCTGGCGGTGCGCGCGAGGAGCTCCTGAAGTTGGGGCCGCAGTACGTGGACAGCACCCTCACGGACGTGTTCGGGGCCGGCCAGGACACCATGTCCACGTCGCTGATGTGGTTCGTGCTCTTGTGCGCCAAGCACCCGGAACTTCAGGCCGACATGCAGAGAGACATCGACCGCGTGGTGGGACGCGAACGGCTGCCACGCCTGGACGACCGGCCGCAGTTGGCGTGCGTCGACGCCTTCGTGTGCGAGATGATGCGTCACGTGAGCTACGTGCCCTTCACCATCCCGCACGCCACCACCACGGACACTGAGCTCAACGGCTACCGCGTCGCCAAGGGCACCGTGGTGTTCGTCAATCAGTGGTCGGTCAACCACGACCCGGCAATCTGGCGCGATCCCGAGCGCTTCGATCCGAGCCGCTTCCTGGACGAGACGGGCGCGGCGCTCGACCGCGACCTCGCGCGCAGAGTCATGATCTTCTCGGCGGGCAAGAGGAGGTGCATCGGCTACGAGATGGCCAAGATGCAGCTCTTCCTCTTCTGCAGCGCCTTGCTCCACCAACTGAGCATATCCGTGCCCCCCGGGCACGTCGTGAGCCTGGAGGGCGTGTACGGTCTCTCCCTGAAGCCCAAGTATCTCTCGGTGGCGTTCACTCCGCGCGAACAGCTGCTGGGTCGACCAGGAGAGGCAGAGGAGTGACGCGAGAGAGTGGGAGAGAGCGAGAGAGAGAGAGAGAGTGAGGATATTACTGTGTTAGTGATAATGCAAGTGAGAGGTCGGGTGGGGTCGGGGGGGGGGGGGGCAGCATAGAGAGTGAGCGAGAGTGAGAGCGCACATGCGTGACAGGGAGTGAGTGGGTGAGAGATGAGCGAAAGAGAGAGTGAGTGAGCGAGAGAGTGAGCGAGAGAGTGAGAGAGAACACTTTGAGACATCGAGTGAGAGCGCGGGGTGGGGGGGGGTGTAAGAGAGATTTTAAATACGAGAATCAGGAATACGGAATTGAGAGGAGGCGCGGTCGGAGTGAGAGAGTGAGATCATATTTTAGAGCGAGTGAAGATATGAACACGACGTAGATTGGACAGAGATCGTGTGCGAGAAGAGGAGGCCAGAGTTACGTGATACATATTCATGCTGATGATGATGATGAGAATGATTTCTTAGAGAGTGGAGAGCGAGCGGCTATGCAGTGGTTAGCGCACAGCGCCGCACACGCTGTGACAAGTTCGATTTCCAGCCGCATCGAATGACATCTGAACGTGTCCTGCGGCCTCGTCCGTATAGGACTATAGGTCGACACGGCCTTGAAACCAGCACACGTAACTGGCATGGCGTACGTGAGCATCGCCACTTGGGGAGACAAAGGCGGTCGGGCGTCGTGACGGCTTTAATAGGTGGTGGATAACAGCACTTGCCCCAACATACGATGGAGACTATAGGGGGGGGGGGGCTTTGCATGTATTTGTGTGTATGTGCGTATTCTGTACGCACATACGTGCGAGGTGTGTGGTGTCATTTGACGATTACACTCACGATTCCTCCTAGTGTGCATCGATCATTTTTTATCAATTATTTCCATTCGTTCGCACAGCCGACGGTGGGAACTGCGGTCACTAATGGGTTCACCTCGCGCCATAGCTGCGAAAAAACACGTAAATCGATTACGTTGATCGATTCGTGAAAATGTATTGGTGTCGACGACGGTGCCATTCGTTACGGTCTCGCTTCTCATTAATTGCGTACGCAGAGCAATCAATCAAGGGCTGCCGTGGTAAATAGAGACCCAAAACTCCCTTCTGTGTTGCCACGCAAGGAACACGTCTTTCATTCAGCCCATCGGCTGATGAGCAATCCAAACTAATAACAAACCCGAGATAATTCGAGCTGATATGAGCAAACGAAAAAAAAGCATAACCAACGTAATATGTTCAAGGTGATATTGGTCCGGACATTTATGGTAATTGTAGTAATATTATAAATATTATTATTGTTATTACAATAACACTATCGGTCTGGATGGGCTAACTGGCGTCGTGATTACATATATGTGTGCGTTTGTATTGTCACTGAACGGAAATCGGGCCCCTTTATATTCGCTGACCTCACCCAAGGGGACCAATTCACGCGTCGTTGGCGAATGTTTATTTGGCATCATTTTCTGCAGAGCTACGCCGATCGCTCACCCCTCCGCCATCGACAACGAAGGGGTTGGGGGTGCGGAGTGCGCACAGAGATCACAACGAAGACAAAGATCCCCCGCCCCCCGTATAACCTTAACAAACTTTTGGAGCCAACAGTCACACACACACACACTCACTCGCTTATACACACGCACACACACTGTCACACTTCGACAGGCGCTGACGAAAACAGCAGGAGCCACATCGCAAATTTGCCTCGTCAATTCGCTACTTTCTTTAAGTTTGTTTTTTTGCGGACCGAGTGTGACACACAGAGACAAACAGATACATGGGGCCAAAATATGTTTTCTTCTAAACAAAATGTATATGTTAAATGTTTAAATAGGATGAATAGCTATTGTTAACATCTTACGCAGATCATCAGACCCGATAGTCGCGTTTCCGCTCAGATACAAAACGAGACTCCCCCCCCCCCCCTCCCGTTCGATCTCATTTGAGTTGAGTGCCCCTTGAAAAAAGTTGATAACCCACGCGCGCATTTTTATATATCAAACGCACGCAACTCAAGCTCGTCAACTGTGGCAGTAAAAGATACAAAATGCTTAACCGTCAACTTTTCGTGCGGTGGCCCTTCTCCATCGCTAAAAGGGCCATGTAAAGAAGCTGAAGGGTCAGTGCCCGAAACGTCGCCGATTATATGCATATTGTTTTAAGGCGACAGTGTTGTCGACGAGCGTCGTGGGTTTTGCTTATTGCGCTTGTGCACCACCGCTAACGCACAAACATCACACACAGAACATTTTACAATCTACATTTTTATTTGATTACACAATTTTCCAGTTCACGCTCAGAAGTGAGACGAATGGTCGCGGCACCAGAGCGGGAGATACCTTTCCGGTGTGGGAGGAAGGATTTCATCCAGCAGTGGATAAGACAATGGAGAATATTGATGACGATTTTGTACTCTTAAGAGATTGCTCGCGCTCGATTCATTTTAAACACTTTACAATCTACGATCGATATCTTAATCGCCTCTCTGCGCAAACGGTCGCACTAATAACGGAATCATTCGCTCGCTCGTTTCGGCCACTTCATCTTTCCTATTCTCAACCATATCCTGACAATTATATATTGTGAGAGGTTTTTTTCGGGGGGGGGGGGGGGGAGGTGTCCCAGGACAGCCCCCTAATTGGAATCATCTGTCTGTCGTGCAGACATCGCGTGGGATTACACGTGACACGTCACGTGGGATTCAAGTTGCACAATTACATACTGGGTGATGGGGGGGTCAGGTGAGTGGGTAGGTGGGCGAGGTAGGTGATGGGGGAGTAGATGGGCGAGTAGGTGGGGTGAGGAGTAGATGCGTGAGTAGGTACGTCAGCGTGTTGGCGAGCAGGTGGGTTTGTAGGTGAGTACGTGGGTCAGCAGGTGGGCGAGGTAGGTGATGAGCGAGTAGGTGGGTGGGCTTTACAAGTTTCACAATGAAGGCCCCCTACAACTGACCAATGAGCCACGGCACGCGACCGATTTCAACAAACCTCGGAAAGCTGAGCAGGTTTTTAGCCTGGATAGTGTGAGCATGAGCGACCACCATCCATAACAACACAAAGCTGTAGGCTGATGTGGCCAGCAGATGGCAGTGCAGGAAAACTAATTGCAGTACTGTACTTCTATGTTCCCGCATATATGCACCTGGCCTTGATGAACCTGCACGGACCAGCGTGGTGAAGTATGGTCAAAACAAACGCTATATGGCGTAGGGTAGGCCCCTCATCCAGCAGTGTATTGATGAAAGGGACTATACATTACTTGTATTGTTACATATTCACGTGATCTGATCTCGGCGAAATGTTAGGCGTAATGTGTTCGTGTAAGCGTTCCTTTATCCTGCGTTGATTTCGCCCGAGATCTCAACCAAGCTCGTGTCGACTCATCTACAGCGCGGTCAGCCACCATCACTGCAAGATCTCAACAATACACTCACTCATCCACCCACTCACTCACCAACCCACCCACCCATTCACTCATACACTCAACCACCCACTAATCCACCGATTGACTAATCCACCCTCTCACTCACCAACCCACCCACCTACTCACTCATCCACTCACTCATCCAATCACCCACCCACTCATCCACTGACTCACTCATCCACCCACTCACTCACCAACTCACCCACTCACTCATCCACTCACTCATCCACTCACCCACCCACTCATACACTCACTCACCCACTCACTCACCAACCCACCCACTCGCTCATCCACCCACCCATTCATCCACCGACTCACTCACCAACCCACTCATTCACTTATCCACCCACCCACTCACTCACCCACTCATTCACCCACTCACTTATTCACCCACCCACTCACTCACCCACCCACCACACCAGCAAGTCACAACACTTATCTCCCTGTTGCTTCCTTCCCTGGAACTGCTCCACTTCGGAATTCCCTCCCAGCATCACCGCCTCTCCACGGACTCCTATCATTGCAACATCCATAGTGCTGATTGTTGCTGGCCACATGGGATTTCCAGCTTTCGTGCCCCTATGCTCAGCAGCCGTTATATACATATTTTTTTTTAAAAAATATGCTTCAAGTATAAGCAACCTTCCATTTTTTTAATACACATCATGTGCATGCGGTATTCATATTTATAGTCTATAAAGACGTCGATCTGTTTTACCCGCTTCGCAATGCCGCCTGTCGGTCATGTTATCTCCTAATTCTCACCGAGTCGAACCTCGCGACCCATTGCTCACTGCCGTATATTTGTTATTGTCCGTGGCACGTGAGGTTCGTCGCAGTAGTAGCATCCGCAGTCACGAGCGAGAGCAATTCTCAATGTGGTGTGCCGGGTTCAGAAATGTGTTGTTTTGTCGGGTGTCCCACACCCCGATGATGTTAATCCCTGAGTATAATAACTACCGATATCGTATTATGAACATTGTTATAATAATTCAAAGAATTATTTTTTATCCCAAGTGATCCATTGGGAGACAGTATTCATTACCTACGTATATATGTGCAAAGGTATTCCAGTAAAAATACCAAATCAGTGTTTTAATTGTACTACGTCATGTAACCTTTGATTCACTACTAAGGCAATACATATATTCTTTACGAAAATTTTAATTCAAATCTAATGATAATAATTGTTGTTATTTCGGGGGACAAATTCTGAGTGTTGTGTGCACTTTATCACGATGTGAAAGTACAGCTGCCGGTTTATAATATTCGCCGTGATGTGTTTGTCGGCGGTGATTGTGTGCGCGTGTGCGCGCTTTGTAATAAACACTATTAAACATGTAAGAAAATCGACAATAAACACACGTGAAGTTTATCACCAAATGATCTCGTGCGTAACTGTGTGAATCAATTTCTTACGTCAACATACAGTATATGCATACTGTATTAGAGATCGCATTTAGGTTTTGACGTCTTCGTTCCCCTACAACCTGCGAAGTCGGAGGGGGGGCTGGAGGGAGGGGGGCCTGGAGGAGGAGTGGGGAGGGGGCCTGGAGGGAGGGGGGGCTGAAGGAGGTGGGGGTGGGGCTGGAGGAGGAGGGGGCTGAAGGAGGTGGGGGATGGGGCTGGAGGAGGAGGGGGTGGGGCTGGAGGAGGAGGGGGCTGAAGGAGGTGGGGGGTGGGGCTGGAGGAGGAGGGGGCTGAAGGAGGTGGGGGGGGGGTGGAGGGAGGGGGGGCATGACTGCCGTGCTGCGTGGAATCCCGATTGAGCAAACTAATTTTGCGGGTAAACTTTTTTTTTAATTTGACAGAGATTAGACCGTGACGCCGGCACACAATCCGAGAAGTTGGAGCCATTTCAGTTCCGTCTTGAGAACTCAATTCTGTAAATCGGCCTTTAACCCCCCTCCCCCCTCGCCGAGTTCAGGACACGTGCCCAGCAGGTTCTGTAAAAGGGGCGACATCAGTGGGATCTACGGATGAAATGCGCTACTTTACAAATGTAAATCATTAATGCTCATTATTATCGAATAACGTCACGTGATCTGTAACGTGCCCACGACGGTTTTGAAGCAGACGACGCGCATTTGTTCATGGTTAATGCACCCGCGATATTAACCAGGGCGGACGCGGGGCACGAACCACGAATCTCTGCCAACACATGGTAAACGCGTTACGGCTAGGCCATGTCACCCTCAATAGCCTTTGCATGCACCTGCACCCAGTGGAGGACTGGGACAAAAAAAATCGGCCCAGACATTTGTAAACACGCCGAGCCCAAATTGCCGTATAATCTCATTGGCCCATTTGGGCTGGGTCCAAAAACAACAAATGGGCCGATGAGGAATAATCTTTGGGGCTGCCGAAAATTGGACTCAATGGCAACTGAGAGCGTAAACAAGCAATAGAGGGTACACATCGAGAGGTAATAAAATAATCAAACCAAAACACATCTATTTACTTTTTTACTCTGATCACATTTGAAATTTCCCCACACAGGCCGGCTCACCGGCACCTCGGAATTGACCGGCCCACCCGGGAATTTGCCGGGACAGCCTCATGGCCATTCCGGGCCTGCCTGCACCGACCAGCCTCCTCGCTCTCTCTTCCCCTTGCTTTGGACGATTTGCTTCATTAACCTTCGGTACCTGGCAGACGAAACGCCCATTGGCAGATCGGTGCCACGTGCTTTCCTTTGCGCCTCGTCGGGACAGCCGTCGCTGGGAGGAGGGTGGGTGCCCCCCTTGGCTCGACTGCAGCAGGGGACGGTTTGAGATGCCATGCCAATACATCGACGGAAGTGCTCTAGAAATGCAATAAACGAACTTCAGCCGGGTGGTGGTGGTGGTGGTGGCTATCCACGCGGCTGCCCGTGATCCAGACAGCAGCAGCGACGGTTGGTGGATCACCACACACACGCAGATGTTGTGAAACTCCCTTCCCATGGGCGTCGAGCAGCTGACGTACCTTGGCTCGCCGGGAGAAGGCTGTAGCAACAACAACAACAACAAAATGTGAACTCCACCCTGTTCAATCGGCATGGAATTGAGTGTTTCCCCATCGCACGCGTGGGTGTTTTCCGTGCGCTCCGATTGCATCCCATATATATAGGTGTTCATTAATCGGCCGATAGTACCGTCATATATAGAGGATCGCAGAGCTTGGGCAATCGTTGGCGCCGGCTCGTCGTCTGAGCTGTTGCGATCTTCCCCACGATGGATAATGATGGGCTGGGTGAATCAAAAGTCGATATTTGAAGTCATAACCCTACGATTACTTGGTGTCCCTCTCTGCCCATGGGGCCACCTGGTCGGCTAACAATGGGAATGGATCTGGATATGAATCAATTACAATTGTCAGAATGATGAGGAGAAGAGGGCGAAGGAGGAGGGGGGAAGGGAAATATATTCCAAACCCCAAAATGGATGAGAAAAAAAACCCCACACAAACCGGCGGAGTAAACTCTCACGTCCAGCGCGCTGTTCGCACATGAAATCAATTCCCGCCACCAGTCGCCTCGCCCCCCCCCCTCGCCCCCCCCCCCCAACTCTGAGCAAAGGGAGTCTTTTCAACCAAGAGCAGCAAGAACAACAACAGAAAGAGACCCCCAGGTTCGCTTCTCCCCCCCCGCCGCCCCCAACCCCCGTATACATTGAGCACTTATTTATTTATTTCCTCTTCGCTATTCAACAAAAAAACGGCACCCCCCTCCTCCAATTAAAGGCGCGCGCGCGAGAGAGAGGGGGGGGGAATGCGAACCAGATGCGGGCTGGAGCACAGTGGCCGTCAACGCGCCGAGACCGCGCAGCGCACGGGGTGACGCCGGTGACGAGTTAATGGGTCGCGGACTCGCGTGCGACTCTATTAAAGAGGGTCTCTCTCTCTCTCTGTCTCTCTGTGTCTCTCTCTGTCTCTCTGTGTCTCTCTCTGTGACTCTGTGTCTCTCTCTGTGTGTGTGTCTCTCTCTGTCTCTCTCTGTGTCTCTGTGTGTGTGTGTGTCTCGATCTGTCTCTCTCTGTCTCTCTCTCTGTGTCTCTGTGTCTCTCTCTGTGTGTGTCTCTGTCTCTCTGTGTGTCTCTCTCTCTGTGTGTGTCTCTCTCTCTGTGTGTCTCTCTGTGTCTCTCTCTGTGTCTCTCTCTGTCTCTGTGGCTCTCTGTCTCAGTGTGTCTCTCTCTCTCTGTCGCGGTGTCTCTCTGTCTCTGTGTGTCTCTCTCTCTGTGTGTCTCTCTCTGTCTCTGTGTGTCTTTCTCTGTCATTGTATCTCTGTGTCTCTCTCTGTCTCTGTGTCTCTCTGTGTCTCTGTGTCGCTGTGTCTTTCTGTATCTGTGTGTGTGTCTCTCTCTATCTCTGTGTGTGTCTCGCTCTGTCTCTCTGTCTGTGTTTCTTTCTCTCTCAAGGTCGCCCGGTGGTGACTCGGCGGGAGCTGATGGGGCGGGTGGTGGTGGGGTTGGTGGTGGTGGAGGTGGTGGTGGTGGGGTTGGTGGTGGTGGGAGTGGTGGTGGTGGTGGGGGTGGTGGTGGTGGAGGTGGTGGGGTTGGTGGTGATGGTGGTGGGGGTGGTGGTGGGGGTGGTGGTGGGAGTGGTGGTGGGGGTGGTGTTGGGGGTGGTGGTGGAGGTGGTGGTGGTGGTGGTAGTGGAGGTGGTGGTGGGAGTGGTGGTGGCGGTGTTGGTGGGGGTGGAGGTGGTGGGGGTGGGGGTGGTGGTGGGGTTGGTGGTGGTAGTGGAGGTGGTGGTGGTGGTGGTGGTGGAGGTGGTGGTGGGGGTGGGAGTGGTGGTGGGGGTGGTGGTGGAGGTGGTGGTAGTGGTGGTGGGAGTGGTGGTGGGGGTGGTGGTGGAGGTGGTGGGGGTGCTGGTGGGGGTGCTGGTGGGGGTTCATAATGGCCATGTCGGACGCAATAAACTACACCAGCAGTGTAAACTGCGGGTTCAGTCCTGCCCCCCCCCCGTGATTATGCCCCCCCCCCCCCGTGATTAAACCGGTTTCTCAAGCGGAGTGAACAGCGATGAGGTGATGGTCTCGGCACGGTCTACGGTGACTCACATAGAGACCCCCATCGAGCCACGTAGCGA